ACTGTCCATGTTCCAACACCACATCTGTAAGGCAATCTAGCATTAGTCCATCTCCTTTCTCGTCTTTCTCAATATGTCCAGTCTTCGCCAAAAGCCCGAACAAGCACGTCACCAACATCCCCTGGTCTCTGATTTCCAACCCATCTGCAGCAGACTTCTCAAACCCCAGCGCTCAAGCTCCAAACACTTGCGTCATCGGTCATGATTACCAAAACCCCCACACTACCGTACGGCGTCGCCGAAATGTCAATCCAGACCGTCCTGCCGACTCAAGAACACCCGGCTCCCTCATTCCCCTCTCCTTGTTCTCTAACTCGCTGCACACGTCTCTCCCTCGCCCCAACAATTTCCACCCTGTCTCACATCACACCTTCGACGCACATCCTCCGCGTTGAAATGGATTTGCATCTGCCCGTTTGGCCCTGTTGATTACTGATCCCCTTCCGCCTCGGCAGTCTGCCGACAACCTAAGCTTACTTACTCCAGCCCCTACACCTGTCTCTTCTTACCTTTCGGCGTCGCCTTGTCCGTCTGTGTGGCTCGGTGACGCCGACCCCGAACTCAGATCAGTGGCCGGCATATGTTCCGGGTACGGGACAAGGCGGGAGTTTGGCGTCGGCTGGCACGCAGACAGATAGGCGGCAGGGAACCAGCGGGAGATTTGTTTTCTTCCGCGGTCAGGGGTAGGGCGGGGGCAGGGGGTGCGGAGGTGGTTTCTCGTGTTGATGCTTTCTGCTGCTGCGACTTATCGGTGGTCGGGTTCTTCTGATGGGGCAAAAGCGTGTTGGTGTGTGATATTTCGCATTTGTGTCTGATTACATAGTAGATTGCTCTGGACGACTGTCGTTGGTCTTTGAGCAGGTAAGGGTCGTAGTGCAAGGGCTCAAGTCGCCGATTCTGTGAGTTCGATTTGTTAAGCAGCCGTCGTGATTACCGCTCTGGAATCCTGGGAGGAAGGCGGCCACTGACAACGTCCTCACGAGGTAAATGTGGAGGAACCAGGTACCCACCACTTGCACGCATACAAGACTTGTTCGACTCTTGGTTCTCTTCATTCCAAATCATTCCGTTTACTATGCTGCGCTCTTCTATTCAAAGTCCTCAGCCTGTCGACCAGCTCCCACCTACTCATTTGGATGATCTCCTTCCGAAATCTGTAGCGGGAATGTGCAAATGCCAGAATTTGTGCAACTAGAAACAAGCAAAGTGGAACAAAAGGAAAATACAGCGGGCTTTAATCAACAGGCCCAAAGCCAAAAGGCGGGCATGGGCCCATGAAAAGACAAAATGCAATTGAGTGGCCTGCAATCACTGGTCCTGTCACTGCGCGTACGCATGCAAGCCGGTCATGTACAGGAGGAGGATGCTGTGTCGATTCACCGTCGCTGCGACCGAATCCACCCACACACTGCTCACTCTTTCTTCGCTCACCTTTCTGCTGCTGCTGCGTTCTGCCGCATCTCGGCCTCGAGCTCTGTTGCCAGTCGAGCAACTTTGGCCTCGCGCTCCTCATCCTCGGAGGCAGCATGCTTTTCAGCGCCCACGCCATTCCACGATGGGATTCCCTCGTTAGGAGGAGAAGAGGACGCTCGGGGAGGTAGACCCATGCGTGAGCGCCACCTCTCAATCCATTTCTCACGCATGGTTTCGTACAGCAGCGCGAACTGCGACTCGCCCTGCACCATCATCATGCGCTGGGTGCGCAGCGCCTCGACAGTCTCCTCGATGGGATCTTGATCATCCGGCACTTCGTCCAGGGAGCCCTCGGCCAGCTCTGATAGGAGGTGATCCAGTGCAACGAAAGTCCCGCTGCGGCCTACGCCCGCGCTACAGTGGACTATGCGGGGGTTGCCAGGATTGGAGCAGTTCTTGGTCAAAGACAGCGGGATGAGGTTGAGTAGAGCCTCCTTGTCGGCACCTTCTGGAACGGAAAAGTCTGGCCATGCTTCGAAGAGGAGGTGCCAAACGGTCTTGGATTCGCCAGTTTTGCGGTCCTTCATCTCAAGCTCGCGGATCTTGGACCGAGTGTGCTCGTCTTCGGTGAGGGAGATCAACGTGATTTCCCAAGCAGTGCCGTCGCCGAATTCGTCTTGCTCATTTATCACCACCGTAGGCGAATCCATGTCCTGCGGATAGTACCTGAAGCATTTTTCTCGGCCAGATTCATGTGTCTGTGTCAGCATCACAACGACTGCTGGCGATGCGCACTCGTGCCAAATCATCCGCCACATGTGGCTGTGGGTGTTGTCGCGAGGTCCCTGCCACTTTTGTTAGCTGACCGGAGCATCCTACTGCAAGAGCATACCCACTTGAGTCGCAATGAAGTTCTTTGCGTTGCCGGTCTTGGAGCTTCTCAGCACAATCGGAGAGGCATTGATATAACCATCTTGCCCTTGCGGTACGTGTAGCTTGACACAATTGTTGACAAAAGGATCGACATTGAGATAGCGGTTGCGCTGGGATGGGACGTCTCCGCTAACGCGCACCCACTGCGCAGATGTACCATTGTTGGCTGGAGTACCAGTGTGCGCCAGGCGATTCCGCTGCTGCCATTCCAGCTCCACGAATTTCTGATGTATCTCTGCGCACTCCAAAGTCAGCCTTGCTTCTTGATAGCACCATGCGGTGGCCTCCTTTCTACAAAAGAGGATCCAAGACAACCTGCCTGTTTTTGTATGGGAGAGGAACAGAGGGATTGGCGCTTTGTCGGTAGCGGTTTCTTGCGAATTGGTTCGCGAAGCACCGCTGGCGGACGCTGGCAAGGGACCGTTTACGGAGAGCGACGATACGGTGGCGGACGAAGGTATACTTTCGTGGGAGCGTGATCTCTTCGAAGACGTCGGGGATGCTGGGACTTGGAGCGGCGGCGGCGGCGTGGTCATGTCGTCTTTGTTCACGGCTATGAAGCTACGGCGTTTGCTTGCGGCCTTGCGCCGAAGCTCGCGGAAGCGATGCACGTTGACGGCGGCTCGGAGTGAGGCAGCAGGCTGAGGGCGAAGGACAGGGCGGGACGAGTGATGAAAAGTGGTGGACAGCGAAGGGGCGCGGGCTCGAATATGGAGTCGCGACAGTGTCGGTATGCTCGAGGAACCGGCGCGACAGGCGTCAAAGGGCAGACAGACAGACAGACAGGCGGAAGGTGAGTGAGGTGAGGTGAGGTATGGATGCAGTGGTGGAGTGGAGGGGCGCAAAGGCAGAGCGCGCGCGCGTAGGCTGTGGGCGGGTCCCAGCCGATCAAGGATGGCTGATAGAAGGCAATATGTCCGTCTGCCCCAGTCCGACGCCCGGCTTGTGCTTCGTGGTAGGTCGTTGAGCGAGGGTAGGTTGGTAATGAAGTCCAATGAGTGAGTGAGTGCATGAGATCAGATCCCAGCGACCAGGACTCGCGGCGACTCGAATGACGCCCGGTCCTCCACCCGGCCGCCGCCTCTCCCGCGTCCATCAAATGTCTCTCCAATTCGAACACTCACTCCACCCGCCAACACTCCCATGATGCGTTGGGCCTGGTGGTACTTTGAGGTACGTTTGCAGCATCCAGCCCGTCTCGCATCTCGGCAGCGACACTGACCATGGCCTCTCTCCTGTAGTACTGGGCGACTGTTCGGGTGAGCCCCGCCTCCGCCTGCGCCTCTTGCGCTCCGCCCGACTGATCATTTGCGCACAGCTCCTCCGGAGTCCAGCATTCCACCGCTGGGTGCACAAGGTCTACCGTACCGTCTATCGCTTGAAGGATGGGCCCCCAGTCGAAGAGCTTGGAGGCACCAAGATCGATCGTACGCTGCCGACCCTGCCTTTGCACCTGCAACCCTACGTCTGACCAGGCGCTTTCCCAGGCCCCTCGCCCCTCAAACAATTCTTCAAGCATTTTGCTGCCGAAATCAAAGCCCAGCTGAGAAACCAACCCTCCAAAAAGTGACGTCCGGGCGTCCACAAACCATCAAGATCTTCACGGGATATACTGGATACGGCGTTGGATTGATACCAATACTCATCACGGGCTGTTCATTATTCGCTTGGGCTTTGCAATCTACCTTCTCAAAATAGCCAAAACATCAATGACGGAGTCTTCGTTTGCGGTCTTTGGGTCTCGACTGTGCCTGTGTTTCGAAGGACTTGTGCGCCAGTCAAATGCGTTCAAAGGCGTGTCTCAGACTCGCAATTGGGAAACCTCTCTGGAAAACGAGTTGGACTCTCTGCATACTCCCGGAAAGCTCTGTGCCCTTCCGAACTACTGTTGGGTCTCTCAAAAGGGGCCAATGAAGCATTACGGTCCGGATTTCCGATACATTCCTTGGCCGCACAGCCTGCTGCCAAATGAATGCCTCTACTTTTGGTAAGGCATCATTCTATCCCCTCGAATACCGCCGACCGAGTCTTCTTTCGCAATTTGGTCGCTGTGATCTTGTCTCACTTCTCCTTGCCACTCTACCTCGAGAGCTGTTCCCGGACTTGATTGTCATCGGCTCCGCCCATGCGTCTAGCATGTGGACCACACCTCCCTCCTCCTCCGTCCTTTCAAATGAGTTCAAACGAGCAAATTACCTGCCCGTGAATTTTAGAGGACACGGAACCAGGCGCTGTATTCACGGGATGTGGAAGAGTCCTTCAAGATGGATTGTCAACAGCCTCTTTCCCTTCCTCTGCGACTGCTACAAGCTTCATGTAGCCATTAAAACACCCGAAACTGCATTATTCTAGCTCTGGCAACTGACAGAGGTATTCAATGAACATTGCTCTGCACAGTTCATGTGGAGTGGCTGCTGGAGCTAACCTGTTCAGCCAACCATGTCGTTAACGACGTCATACCTGCCCGGCTTTCGCCTCCGCCAATTCCTAAAAGTCCCAAGGTTGATTTGAGCCCCTTGCTTCGCTTACCTGCGCGTAGAACATCAGTAATCTGAGGCCTTGAACAAGGACTGTTAAGGTGGAATAGGCAAGGGCATTTTGTTTGAGTATATATATTATGCGCACTGCTCATGAATCATGGCAATGCACCTGATGGCACAGTGCCAGAGTGGTTAATGGGTTGGACTTGAATCTTGTGCTTCGAGTGATCCAATGGCTTCGGCCTCGCAAGTTCGAATCTTGTCTGTGTCGCGTTCCTTTTTGCATTTTTCTTTTGCATTTCTACCTGCTGACGTTCAGATTCTGTGACATCTTTCGCAGCTTTTGTTACCTAAACCTCTAAGCGCCAGTGAGGGCGATAAGGATTACAGCTTTTCCTCTCCTCTGTTCGTGCGTCTTAGCTGAAGCGCGCGCCACGCCTAACCCGTCATGAATGATGCTCAGAGTTGACAGATTCTGCCCTGTGCAATGTGATTGGATATGGACTTGATGGTGCAACAAGCGGGCGGCAAAGCGGAACGCCAACATGGACTCGGATTAAGAGAAGGCAAGTCAGGCGCAACGCTGGGATCAAGAATGGGTGTCTTCCACAGCCCTACTGTCCTGTTCAAGGAAATTTAAAGGCCACTTCCACCTGGACTGGTCCTGCTTTGGTTGTATCAACAAGATGGCTCGGAATCTGTTTCTTGGTCTGCCTCGACGAGGCCATGTGCGACTTCCATCCTTGACGGGAAAGATGGCCGGGTTGAGTCTGGACAAGACACGCTCATGAGCGATCTCTCCAACAAAGAAGTGGACTGCAACGCACCTCCCGATCATTGAGGAAACAACTGGAAAAGCGCCAGCGATCCAAGAATGCGAGAGAGACAGGTCAGATACTCGGCCGCTATCCAAGGGGATTGGAAAACAGCAGCTCCCTTTGTCGCAACACGGAAACCTCAATACGTGAGGTGGCGAGCCAAATAGATTTGAATCGAGGCTGAGGTGTCTCCTTTCTCCTTCAGTGGCTGCCACGACAGTTGAAGAGCGTTGCATTCTGATTAGCCATGGACTTCGCGAGAACCTTTGGACGAGGGATCGGGTCTGAAAACAAAAAAGGCAAACAAGTGTCGTCTCAAGTTCATCGGCCTCGAGGAGGACTATCACGGGCAGGTTTCCGCTTTCACGAACGTTGTCCATCATTAGTGCCTTGACTTGATCCCCTTGGGCTTCTGTCATCCATTCCTTCTGAATCTTGCGTTCTGAACGTATGGGCAGTGTTAGCAGACGTGGACCATCCAGACATTTCATGGGTCGACATGTTTGACAGCTGCTCCGCAAACGAAGTGTCAGAAGAAACTAGCCTGTGACAATCAGACGTCACCCAGTTCAGCGCTCGCGAGGACGGTGCAGAAGACTAGAGGGCTTGAGGCACCTGCAGGATCATCAACCAGCAAAGAAACGTTTCGGTGGTTGACTTGATTCCTCTATGACGTACCAAACATCAAGAATAAACCGTGCTCCACAACTCCACGTCTGTACGTGTTTCCTGCTCGCCAAACAGGCACAGCGTTTGGTTTGAAACCGCCAGTCCCTCCGCTCCGTGCACATGTGAACCATACACTTTTTACCACACGACCCTCAAAGTCAAACACTCCAACGCCCGGCGATGGAACCACGGCCAAGGAATCCAAAAATGTAGGTTTATGCGTTTCATGGGCCAAGTCTTTGCGTCGAGCCCATCGGAATATTCTGCAGCGGCGTTGTCGAAGGCAGGACTCCGTACCTGCCAAACGTCGACTTATCCACTGACACATAGTGTGGTAGCTTTCCGAGCAAATTGAGCTTGCTTTCGAGCCAGCGAAGTATCTTTTCAGGCGGTGCCAAAAATTTGATGTAGTTCAGTCCCCAAAGGTAGCCGATGGCAGCGCCGCAGAGGTGGCCGATCAGGCTCGTATTTGGGATCAGGAAGCTGGTTATGAGGATGGGAAAGAGCGGCGTCGTCCAGGTGGGGACTTTGTAAGGTCCTATGCTGGTGTGTGTGTTAGCACCTGCATGTTGTGGGCACGCGAGCGACCTTGCCTTAGATATGGATTTACACGGTGTGTCTTCACGGCCTCGACGGCGAGCAGGAGAAACACCCACACGCTACAACGCGATCAGCCAACTGGAGCTACGTCTCTTGAAGAGGTCCAAACCGTACCTGGCCCCTTGTACCGGTGTGTTGCCTCTAAAAATGCCACGTTCTATGAGAAGGTACATGACTCCGGGAAGGGTCGCGAACGCTACAAGAGTAAGCGATCATCCAAGAGTCAGAGTCGCTTGAGACATACGCCCTGAAAAGAGGGAAAAGGATACGAGAGTGCCATGCTCGGATTCGAAACGCTCTAGCAGCGGGGTGATGGCGAGAAGGTTGATGAGTAGGTGGAAAAGACCGAGATGGGTGAAGGAGAACGTGTTGAGGCGATAGCCTGTCGCCGGGAAAGACGGAGTCAGCGGGAGAGACGTTTGGAGACGTTGGGAGGGGGTATATGGACCTGTTGCTAAGCTGACTTGATCAGGAATCAGGGCGCACTTTTGGCGCAGGTCGGTCCATGGAATGCTCGCGAGATACAGCGCGACGATGATGAACAGAATGATGCGCGTGCAAAGCGGCAGGCGAAGCACGTATGAGCGCAGTCGCGCCGGATTCAAATTGGGTGCGGCGAAAGCCATGGTGTTGCAGGGAGAAGAAGACGTCTCCTGTCGAGAAATGCCTGCCGTGGCTCTGCTGTCGTGACACGCGCCTCGACTGACGCCGCGCCGATGATCCGGGGAAGCTTGAGCTCTCCTTGCACCTCGACTCGACAACCACACAAAAGATGCGGTAGCATCGCTCCTCCGCGCCCCCCTCCTCCCGCACCAATGGCTTCGCTCAGTGAGTGCCCGAGTAGGCTTTCTCGGATCGCTATTCTTGGTACTGACCCTGTCGCCAGCTCCAGCCCTTCTTGGGCTCCGCCGTGATGCCCGCATCCTCAAGATCCCGCCCTACCTCTCCGCCCTGTGCATCATTGTCGGCGTCATTTGGCTGTTCATGCTGCCGTTGGACGACTACTCGCGCCAGACGTACATTTCCGAAAACGCGCTCCTGCCGGGCCAGGTCCACACGTACTTTGGAGGGAGCGAACACAACGTATTTCGCGCCTACAGGCATGAAGTGCACGCGTTGGCAGAAAAGCCGCCTCAAGAGTACGTGGACTCCAATGCACAAGCAGGATTGATGGGGCTGAAAATTTCGCAGGCGCAATCAAATACTTGAGGACTTGATGAGGTCCACTGGTCTCAAGACTGCGCATCAAAAGTACGAGTACCGCACGCCGGGCAAGGACGCCGTGGGCCAAAATACATATGGCCTCTTGCAAGGCCCGCGCGCCGATGCCACCGAGGCGGTGGTGCTTGTCGCCGCCTGGGAAACAACCAAGGGGGAGATCAACATGAGCGGTGTCGCTCTGGCTTTGACCCTCGCTCGATACTTCAAGAGTATGTCAAGTCTGTCCCATTTCGGGGTATCCAGTATGTTGACAAGGCTCAGGATGGTCATTGTGGTCCAAGGACATCATTGTCTTGATTGCTGGAGACAGTACGGCCGGATCACAAGCTTGGGTAGACGCCTACCACGACGCTCACGACCCGAGGACGGTTGAACCTCTGACGATCAAAAGCGGTGCACTACAGGGCGCCGTAGCCATCGAGTATCCAGCTGGGCCTTGGGGCCACCGGTACGACAAGATTCACGTCCTCTACGATGGCATCAACGGGCAGCTCCCGAACCTCGATCTTTTCAACACGGCCGTTTCTATTGCAAGCAGCCAGGTTGGTATCGGATGCACCTTGCAGCGCATGTGGGACCACGAGGACACCTACAAGGAACGACTTCAAACCATACTTCGAGGCATGATCAGCCAAGGCCTCGGTCACGCGTCTGGTCCTCACAGCGCGTTCATTCCCTACCACGTAGATGCCCTCACCCTTCAAACTGTCGGGGACGGCTGGCACGACGAAATGTCCCTAGGCCGCACGGTCGAAAGCATTTTCCGCAGTCTCAACAACCTGCTTGAACATCTTCACCAAAGCTTTTTCTTCTATCTCCTCATGCAGGCTAATCGCTTCGTGAGCATTGGCACCTACCTCCCGTCAGCCATGCTCATCGCCGTCAACTTTACAATAATCTCAATAGCTCTCTGGATCGAGAGTGGGCGCCCCCCAAGTCCCCCTACGAAAGTCGCGTCGACCGAAAAAAGCAAAGCCGAAAAGGAGCCAGAAATGACACTGATCAAGTCTGGCAAAGATGTTTCGCTCGTCCCGTCCAGCAACCTCACGATAGTCGAACGTAGCATGTTCCTCCCTCTATCTTTTGTCGCTGGGGTGCATTTCCTCGGTCTTCTCCCTCTCTACCTGTTCAACAACACGCCAGCAAATTATCTATCCTCCGTGTTCATCTTCACCGCGGTGATGACAGTTCTGGCTCCCCCGACGACCGCGTACCTCTTGCAGCGCTTTCACGCTCCGTCAAAGCAGGAGACGACGCTATTTCAATGTTTCTCGCTGCTACTCCTCGGCATGTTTCTCTCCGCTCTTGCCACTCTCAACTTCTCCCTCTCCTTCCTCGTCGGTATTTGTGCGGCGCCTCTATCTTTTGTGCGTTCTGTTGGTAAATCAAATCAGCGCCGCCGCTTCGTCCTAGCGGGCCTGCAATATACCTTGCTCGTGGCTCTGAGTCCGGTGGTTGTCATGGTCATAGGGAGCCAGCAGCTCGGTCTGACAAAAGGCCAGGGGTTGAGCGGCGTGACCGAAGTCCTTGTGGAGGCCGCTTTTGGCTGGCATGTATGGGGCTTGTGGACCCAAGTTGTGGTCTGGCTTGTTTGGTGGCCGGCATGGTTCGTTGGTGCAGTTGTGGTTTCTGGGTCCATATTTGGGAACTAAGCATGCTTGGAGCATCCGGAGCGCGCGCATTGCAGGGTCAACTCTGTACTCAAAAAGCATGCTTAATAGTGTTTCGTCTGCACCACTTGATCAACCAGAATTTGGCATGCACTCAGATTTGAATCATGACAATTTGAACTTGGGTTCCCCTGTCATCTTTGCAAAATTCTGTCCTGTCAACCTCATCACACAGTCTGTTGTTCTGCGCCTCGCCTCAATCAACAACGACACCCTCCTCGCCCCGGATTGAGAGTAGCATTGGCTGCTGCTTGCCTTTCCAACCCAGCTGGACTCTGAAAACAATTGACAGT